TTTTGGAGAAAATTTGGTGAGAGCGTAGGCAGGTCATGAGAGGGGGTTGTACTGGAGGAGGAAATCCGAGGAGAGAACCTCGACACCACCATTTCAGCAAGCGTGTGGAATCAGTGGCCAATCGCTGAACTTTTAGATATGCAAAGAATTTTTTCCCATCAGAATGCGTAGGTTACCTATGAAGCAAGGGGACCGAGCAGGGTTCCCCTCATGCGCCCTGCTCATTATTTTTTGGATCAGAGAAAATAGGGTTTGTTGAGCTGCAGGAGGAACCCTTCAGGGCCGTCATTGTTCATTGACGACAGTATCGGCTCTCGTAACTGTTCCCTTGTGACTCTAGCCTTCTTTACAGGGTTTCGAGAATAGGGATTTTAGGTTCAACTCGCGAAGTGGTAAGTGGTGCCGCTCACCTCGCGAACGATCCAGGGGTCAAATCTCGCATCCCTTGGACAACAAAGCCTCTCATCCTTTTGGGGCCGATTGAAGGCTCACGAGTGCAAAAACGAGTTGTGCGGCTCGAATTTTCATGACAAGGTACTAAGTGATCCAGCAGTGTGGAAAAAAGCAGGAAAAGCCCTCCGGAAATGCCTCTCATAGAACCCCATGCTGAACCGCGTCTGTGCATGTGCAGTGTGAAAGGGCGTGATTGGACGAGTTCTCTCTCGCTGGTGCTAGCTCTTTCTCCTTATCACCTCACTCTCACCGTTCGAAATGAAGAGCTAGTAGCGGAACAAACTCGCCACTAGGAAGCTTTAAAAAATGAAGGTTGGGCGTTGCGTTAGGTAGTGGGCGGGGCGCTGCCTTCATTGCAACCGGACGGCGCTTTCCTCAAGTTCTTTGGGCTGCAAATTTAGTACATCCTCCATCCTCGCAGCGAGGCTACTATATCCAGTGGAAGCGCTTGAACATCAGTTGAAGTCGGGACGTGTCTTTAATTAATACCGAACTTATCTGGGTAGATAGAAACACTGTCTTCTGTCTAAATTGGCTGGTGGGCCACTATGAACCTTAATGGGAAAAGGATGCGTGGCGCATCCAAGAGAGGAGTCGATTGACACAGAAGCTTAACGCTTTATTCTTATCCTTGAACCTTTAATTATAAATACATTTATACAGAGAGAAATATCACAGTAACAGTAACCATCAGTGCATATCAAAAGGCTCTTGTGATATTATAAATGAAAATCAAGTATTTTTTTATAAACAATAGATCATCTTAGCTATTTATCCGTAGCGCTCTCGTTTTGTGTTACGTTCACGGAACAAGTCACATTGGTCGACAATGCGTGGATAAGATCGGTCGTCGATATATTTTCTGTCCTGTAAGAGTACAATCAAGTAAGCACTTATAAAGTTGGGAGTGACGCAGTGGCATGGCCAGAAACGTCGCTACGCACGTACGCTTTGGGGGGTCGGATGTTACCTAGGCCGTTTGAGTTCTAAATTATTCAGAATTGGTGAGTTTGACCCTAATTCTGAGGAATTCAAGACTCGAAAGCCTAGGCATCTAGTCTTAAGTAGCTGTTTTTTTAGCTGTAAAGCACAAAATATCACTCCCCTCCTCAACCACCCTCCCCCCTTCCCCGCTGCCACAGTCATGATCTCTGCAAACTATAGGGCGCGTTAAGGAAGGAGGGTTTATGGGGCTTCTGTTGAACCAAGATTCTCTCGTTGCAAGGGTACAGAGGTATTTTCCCATGCACCTATCGGTCAGCACTTGAGGGGAGGACGAAAAAGAGAAGGAAGAGAAGAGAAGGAGAAAGGAGAAAGAACAAAGGAAGGAGGTGGGAGGCTTCGCGAGTTGAGAAGTAATCTGAGAAAGGGTCGTCAGGGGTATGTGACAAGAGGATCGTAATTTGCCGCGCTGCTGGGCGTCGCGTGCGACGTCCCGCCCGCAAAGGACGATGGTTTCAGGCAGTAGATGGCGACAACATGCAATTAAGGACCGAAAACAGTAATGAGTGTCTACGATGACGGGGTCTACATGAAGTCCGGTGCTCCATTCGACAGGTTAAAACGAGTTATGAAAACGCCGCGCCCATCGCCGCGCGTGGCAGTGCGGCGAATTACGATCCTCTTTACGTCATCAGACGGAGAGCAGCCAGGGGTCTTTCCCACCAGTTGTTGCGAAATCAAAACGGCAGCATTGGTAGAAAAAATCACTCTGGCCGTGGTCCAATCCAGGCGCAGAACGCGTTACAGTTTGCAAGGATTATATCTAAACTTTATGTAGAAATCAACATCTCTGCAGGTGTTATAGGATGAAAGAAGGCAGAGGTCTCATGCCACAGCACGACCTTCACTAGAGTGTAATCCACGACATTCGAGACGGTACCGTGCACAGTCTGGCGGAGTGTTTATGAACTAGTTGGTTTCATACGTCACGCTGAATGTTGGGTCTTGGTGCGAATGTCGCGCACTTGACGCCTTTTACAACACCCTTTCATTGCCTTCACAGCCCCTCGGATACAATCTGGTTCGCTGAGACGTGTCCACGCGGCTGCGCAGGGTGGCGCTGTCTGACCATTCTACACAGTTCTTAAAGCGGTTAAGTGACAAAACAAGAGCTATGATGATACAGTCATGTCGCTTGCGGAGAGAAAAAAAAGAAAAAACGGGTTGGTGACGAACGAAGCTGCGCGGACACGCCCAGTCGCCCGCAGCGAACTAGACTAAATGGTGATCTACACCCATTTTCAGAATTTCAATAATTTTCTTCAATGTGTGACTTACCGTTGAGTAGTGAGAAACCGATCGATTTTCTTGAAGGGTTTGTAGCAATCATCACTGTCAGGGCTTTCATAAGGAATGGCATCATGGGCGATCAGGTCGGCCTAAATATAATTTCATGGGGAGATGTGTTGATTTTTCAGTTGCCGATTCCACCCCTTCAAAAAACGTCTTGTAGCACTCTCAGCATTGGACCTTGATGCCGGGTTAGGGGGAGGGGCGCGGCTACTACAGAATAGCGTGTTTGGTGGAGGGGATGCGATAGGGCGGTTGGCCACACACCGCTCACCCCTCCACCAATGAAGTTGGCAGTAAGCGCTTGCACCCAGCCATCGTGCCCACTGCCTTTAAGTATGGACAACCGTACCTGAAGCTCATCGAGAAGCTCAACAGTTGGGTAGAACATTCCATGATCAATGACGTTGTCCACATATTTGCATTCTGCCACAGAAGCAAAGCGTTCCTCGTATGTCATCACTAACGGACCACCTTTATACTTACGCACCAGTTCATCGCTGCATACTGTAATTGTTGCATGTGTTTGATAGATATCGACCACATTTTCATATCAAAAGCAGTTCAACTCACTTCCAGCTGGTCACGAAGACGTCGGGGAACGATTCTTTTACTTGCCGTAGTTGCCGGACATGACCATAGTGAAACATATCGAATACGCCTTCCGTAAATATATGAATGGGTCGGTGCAGTGGTACTGAATAGGAGATTTGGGCTATTTCTATCAATTTTTAATTATCTAAAAATCACTTTCGCCTGGTGAGAGTGGGGGGGGGGCAAGGGAGAGCAGGAGAATCGTAGTTTGCTGCTCCTGCGACGTCGCACTCGACGCCCATCGGCGCAGCGGATTACGATTTTCTTGTCACGTACCCGGGGGGGGGGCAAAGAGGGTCCGAGGCAGGACGTCTTTTCAAAACTCTTCTACTGAGTACAAGGCTACTTCCCTATCCCTTGAAAAGGCGCAGGAAGGTAGACAAAACGTGGCACGATCGCACCACCGCGTGGTCCATTCCGCCCTACTTCCCCCCTTC